AAAGAGAAGGGAGAGGTAAAGGAAGGGAGAAAAATAATAAAAACAGTTATTTTACCCATAATAAACAGATACCTTGTAAACAACACTATTGACACGACTAACCTAACCTAAACCTAACCTAAACCTAACCTAACCTAAACCTAACCTAAACCTAACCTAAACCTAAACCTAACCTAAACCTAACCTAAACCTAAACCTAACCTAAACCTAACCTAAACCTAAGCTAACCTAAACCTAACTCCAATTCCAGGGCTGCTACCTTGATAAATATTGTTCATTTTATCTCAAGAATTTATCAGATATTAGTGAATGAGAGAGAGAGAGAGAAAGAATGGAGGGGAAGAGGAGGGGGGAGGAAGGAAGAGGGAGAGGGGAGGAGGGGGAAGAGGAGGGGGGAAGAGGAGGGGGGAAGTGGAGGGGGGAAGAGGAGGGGGGAGATGGAGAGAGCGGGCGAGAGGTGTGGAGGCTGGTATGGTCAGGTGGCCGGGAGGAGGGAGGGAGGAGGAAGGAAGTGGGAAGGAGTGGGAAGGGAGTGGGAAGGAGTGGGAAGGGAGTGGACGACAGAACACAATACATGGTGAGAGAATTAAGAGACACGAGACGATAACAAAGATAGCTAGAATGTGTGTGTGTGTGTGTGTGTCAGTCTCCAACAGTCAAACGTAACTGTAGGTATTTTAATAGAACAGTCACTTGACAGTTCCTTTCCTGTTATATGATCACCAGTCACCGTCCTTGTATAATCACCAGTTATAATCCCCGCCTCTCTCAGCCTCACCGACCCCGCTACTCCGAACCCAACGCCGCTACTCTGAACCCGACCCCGCTAATGTAAGCCTTACTTGCAGTGGTCATAGAGGTGACAGTCGCCTGCTGGGGATGATCTCACTTATGTAATTGAATATTTCCTGTTCCTCGGCCCAGTAAACTCATAACAAATTTCCTTTTAAAATAACGTATGATGTTTTCCACATCTCCCGGGGGATGGTTCAAGGTCACTGGGATGCTCGACGAATGATGAGTTTACTAGAAGGTACATGAGGCGGGCATCATGAGGCGGGCATCATGAGGCGAGCATCACGAGGCGAGCATCACGAGGCGAGCATCATGAGGCGAGCATCATGAGGCGGGCATCATGAGGCGAGCATCATGAGGCGAGCATCATGAGGCGGGCATCATGAGGCGGGCATCATGAGGCGGGCATCATGAGGCGATCATCATGAGGCGATCATCATGAGGCGAGCATCATGAGGCGGGCATCACGAGGCGAGCATCATGAGGCGGGCATCATGAGGCGGGCATCATGAGGCGAGCATAATGAGGCGAGCATAATGAGGCGGGCATCATGAGGCGAGCATCATGAGGCGAGGCATCATGAGGCGAGCATCATGAGGCGGGCATCACGAGGCGGGCATCATGAGGCGAGCATCATGAGGCGGGCATCATGATGCGGGCATCATGAGGCGAGCATCATGAGGCGGGCATCATGAGGCGAGCATCATGAGGCGGGCATCATGAGGCGGGCATCATGAGGCGAGCATCATGAGACGGGCATCACGAGGCGAGCATCATGAGGCGGGCATCATGAGGCGGGCATCATGAGGCGGGCATCATGAGGCGAGCATCATGAGGCGAGCATCATGAGGCGGGCATCATGAGGCGAGCATCATGAGGCGGGCATCATGAGGCGAGCATCATGAGGCGGGCATCATGAGGCGAGCATCATGAGACGAGCATCACGAGGCGAGCATCTGTATCGCGATTCTCAGATATGTGGAATTATATTTTTCCTAACCTTAACCTAACCTGACCAGGGCTGAAAAAACACATCTAATCACTGTATATTATCAGAATAATTACCAAGTCATCTACACCCGGTACTATGTATCTTCGTCAGAGTGAGACAGCGAAGTTTTCTGACATAATAGAAACCTTTGAGAATCCATGTGTTGGGAGGGGTGTTCGTGTGTGGGGTGTGTGGGGTGTTCGTGTGTGGGGTGTGTGGGGTGTTCGTGTGTGGGGTGTGTGGGGTGTTCGTGTGTGGAGGGGTGTGTGTGTGTGTGTGTGTGTGGAGGGGTGTGTGTGTGGAGGGGGGTGTGTGTGTGTATGGTTGGGTTGAAGAATAATACCAATACACAGTTGACAATATATTTATTAGGAAATATACTTACACATGTATTTATACTCATATTTGTACTAGTCTCAATAACATAATGGAATACATAACTGTCTTTTTCTGGGGTTGAAATTGGTGAAGAGATTAGTATATTTAGGAGAGGAGGAGAGAAACGCCGTCAGCAGCAGCAGGAGGGAGACTGAGTCCTTCTGTGGGAGGCATCATCTGCTCACACAGTCAACATGTTACTAGATGGCTCACCAGTAGCCCCAGGCAGTGTTGCGTCCTTCAGTGTTGTGATATATAAGCAAACTGAAAATGTAAGCCAGGGGACGGTACTGCTCTGGGTGTGCCTCCTGTAGTAGCCGCGTCAGCACACGTTACATCAGTAGTGGCTGATATAAATCTCTCAGACACAAGTATTCACTATACACATCACAGCACCATCGGAATTAGGAACATGAAATTTTATGAACAGTACAGTGTAGTACTTTAAGATGTCCAAAGATTCTGAAGAAAAAACTACCATTTATGACAGAGAATGAAGAGATACAAACAATGCTGTACTCGGTGTTGTAAGACAGGCATACACGAATGCCCAAGGTTCAGGTACAGGATTACAAGGCACTCATGACAGGTATGGAAGATAACATTTTCATTTCCACGTCTCACAATATTTACACAATTTACTCAATATATAAATATAGAATCTGTTAACAACTGGCCACTGAGTCCAGCTTCACCAGGGGCGCCAGTGAGGGTGCTGGTGATGGTGGTGGCGGTGGACGGGGTAGGGGGCGTGGCGACCCTCTCGGAGTCCGTGACATTGACTGGGCGCTGCCGGGGCCGGAAGGACGCACTGTGTTGGTCGCTGAACTGCTGGGGTGACGACCGGCCTGGGCAGGACAGCAGCCTTGGGTTTAAGTGTTGGGGGTGAGCGTGTCAAGCTTACAGACACGGTGAAGGATCGTTGTCTGGACACTGTCTGTGGTGCAGTACGGCGGTGGGGAGTAGCCAGGTCAAGTGGGACAACCTGGGGGGCGGGCTGGTGACCTACCGTGGCCTCGGGAGAGCTGGAGTGTCCAAACGAAGATTCCAAATGAGAGGAAACTAAATGATCACTACTGGTGCAAGTTTCAGGGCTAGCGAGGTCTTCTGGTGCGTCAGGTGCTGCCTGTGGGCTGCCCCGGGCTGACTCAGGGGAGGAGGGTGCACCTGCTGCTTCCGGGGACGCGGCGTTGGTCGGGGAACTGTTTCCGGAAGAAATGGCGGTCCAGGATGGTAATACCAGCGCCAGTTGTCCCGATGGGAGGCGCGCCTGTACTAATGGCACCCCCGTCAACGACCCCTGGGGCGCCTCCTGCTGCTGTGGTGAACCTTTTGATACTGGAACTTCGTCCATCTCTGCTTCAGACTTTATGTTGGCGGGTTCTGGTGTGGTGGTGGAACTAAGGTGTGAGAGGACGCGGGCATGGAGGTCAGGAGGCAGACCATTGAGGCCGGCGAGGAACCTGCTGACCTCAGCGGCACACTGGGTGAAGCCTGCACGATACTTGGCGGTGGAGTCCGTACTCTGGTGGCGGGAGGTAGAGGTATCCTGACGGTGGAGAGCCTGCACGTGCCTCACAGTCATCTCCAGAATGTCTGCCTTCTCCAGTTTGCTGTACCGCGTCGGCTGTGGGTGAGATATAATACATTAACAAACGTAATGGCCCAAGTGGTGTACTATTACCTTCGTCGTTAAGTGTGATGAAAATATTACATTCATTGTAGTGGAATTTCTACATTTATTATTCATTGTTGGTGACAACTACAGTCAACTAAAGACACGGATGGTGACTCACGTCTTTCCTCTGGGCGGTAAGGACGAGGTTCTTCAGCTCGTTGAGGCAGTGGTTGATCCTCTCCCTTCTACGCCGTTCCATCAACGGCTTGTTGCTCTGAAGGGACACACACACACACACACACACGGTCAGTAAAATGCTTAGAAAGACCTTCATGTGTGTACTTTAGCCTCATGTACAGGTCAATAGACACGAGAGTGATTACTGAAGTCTATAAACTGTGAAGCCTAAACATGTATACCCCTGAGGTACAGAGTTACACACACACACACACACACACACACTACCAAACCCTCGAACATGAAAAACTTGTCAGTCCAAAAATTTTTATAACTAATGATAAAACAGACGCCCATCTTGGATCACCTGAAGATTAGCACCCCAGCGTATTTCAACTCGATATTAAACCTAACCAAACCTAACCTAACCAAACCTAACCTAACCCAACCAAACCAAACCCAACCTAACCAAACCCAACCTAACCTAACCCAACCAAACCCAACCCCCTACGTTGTGTTATGGTATTAAGGTGAAATAAAGCTGAAGTAATCCCAAGCTTTCTTTCAACCGTTGATAGAAACTTTCATACAGTATATAATATATTTTGAGGGAAGTTTAAGACTCATGCAACGGTGGTACAGATGATGACCCCCCGCCCCTGACTTATGAACGAAGTGTATAAATCAAATATAGGGTTTACATAAAGGTGATTTAACTAATTAAACTATCCAACCAGGAGCGAACTCGTAGCAATGGTTCTTTTTTATTAGACATTTTTAGATTTAGGCTGGAATTAAGTTAGGTTAGGAAACAGAGTAGTGGATGAGTGGAACAAATTACCAAACATCATCATTAACTCTAATACGCTGGATAGCTTCAAACACAGGTTGGGTGGATATATGAGCAATAGGGGTTGGGTGTAAACGGGACAGACTAGTATGGATCAGTATACACAGACTGACACACTTGAATGGTCCACCTCCCCTCCCAGCGTAACATACCGAACACCTGCCAGCACGCGTCACACCACCTGTTTCATTCATTATTCTTCCTCTCTTTAACTTACTCGTTAACTTTGCTCCATCTATTATGTCTCTTAGGTCAAGTTACATGAACATAGCCCGTCAGTGTCACAACTAATGGAGAGTGAGGGAGTGAGAGGGAGGGAGGGAGAGGGAGGGAGAGAGGGAGAGGCATGAGATTACCTGCAAACAACACCTCTCAATTCCAAAGATCATCTGCATGTTAGACACCCCATCTAAGGCTTAACCAACCTAACGCTAAGCTAACCTAACTTAACCAAACTCTCTAGGGTGTCTAATCTTCAGGTCCAGTTCTAATGATTAGCTTGTGATTTAGTGACGTTATTCCCTTAACCTATACTTGCATATATTTTACTTGATAAAACTAAACGAAATGAATACATACTTACATATACACAAACATACATATACACACACATACACACACACCCCTGTACTGTGAAGGGGTACATTATAGGCCTACATATCCGCACACAACCTCTAAATTACACATTACTCTGTATTCACTAAAATGCTAGTTTAATTTACAACACACAGTAAGAACAGTGGTTGTTTGAGTGAATAATTAAATGTATTCAATTTATTTACAACAATATAACACTTTACTGTATAATGTTTACGGTAATTAAAACATGTGTCAGTCCACTACACATAAGGTACCTACTCGTCTGGTCTTGTGGGTGTCTGCCATGCTGGAGTTGCTTGACGTACACATTATCACTCCACTGTCTCTTAATACCTTCCTCAGGTTAATGTCTGTCTCGCGTAAAATAATTCTTGTTTAAATTAAGGCACTAGTCCATGGGTGTAATCGAGGCACACGTCTGCAGCGCCAGTCGCGTGTCTCGGTCTGGTCTGCACGTCCGGCACGGTCTGGTCTGCACGTCCGGCACGGTCTGGTCTGCACGTCCGGCACACGTGGCCACGAGACGTCAACTGATACTCGCACACGATATTCACCCAAGGCGCACTCCAGCAGTGTTACCAGATAGCTCTAGTCACGTTATATTACCTATTTTACCATCAGTTTAATTCGTAAAAACAGTTTTAACAAATGATTGTAAAACAGATACATCGTTTGATACTGATATGACGATAATAATTCAATATTTCCTTATTTTTACTCGTTGTAAATTATATCTCGTTATCACTAGTAGGGGGTGTGATAATGACGTCATAGTACACAACCACGCCTCTTACGCGCGCTATCGTTAAACGTCATTATCACACCGACCAATCACAGCCACGAAAAATCTAAGAACACGTGAAGAGTTCCTTGATTGGGTAGCGGGTGAGGTAGGCGGGGCCATCACCCACGTGTCAGGTAGGAGGGGGGGCGGGGCTCCTCCACGTGGCTCCTCAGATATCAATTTATAAGATTCTGTTGAGTTCCCGTCAGCCATCTCCCCTCACTCTCACCCGTCTCCTTTATTTCTGTCTCTTTCTTCTATCTTCCACCTGTCCCTCACTCTTCCACCTGTCTCTCACTCTTCCACCTGTCTCTCACTCTTCCACCTGTCTCACCCTTCCACCTGTCCCTCACTCTTCCACCTGTCTCACCGTTCCACCTGTCTCTCACTCTTCCACCTGTCTTTCACTCTTCCACCTGTCCCTCACTCTTCCACCTGTCTCTCACTCTTCCACCTGTCTTTCACTCTTCCACCTGTCTCACTCTTCCACCTGCCTCTCACTCTCCACCTGTCTCTCACTCTTTCACCCTGTCCTCACCTTTCCACCTGTCTCTCACCCTTCCACCTGTCTCTCTCACTCTTCCACCTGTCCCTCACTCTTCCACCTGTCTTCCCTGTTCTCCCACCCGTCTCCTCACTCTTCCACCTGTCCCTCACTCTTCCACCTGTCTCTCACTTCCACCTGTCTCACCTCCACCTGTCTCACCCTCCACCTGTCTCTCACTCTTCCACCTGCCCTCTCACTCTTCCACCTGTCTCTCACTCTTCCACCTGTCTCTCACCTTCCACCCGTCTTCACCTTCCAATCTGTCTTTCACTCTCTTCCACCTGTCTCTCTCACTCTCTCCACCTGTCTCTCACTCTTCCACCTGTCCCCACCTTCCACCTGTCTCTCACTCTTCCACCTGTCTCTCACTCTTCCATCTGTCTCTCACTCTTCCATCTACTAACTGGCTATTAACTAACCATCTATTTGATACATTATTAAAATAGTCTAACAAAACACAAGACCAAAATAGGTTAACAGGTTCATTTGTGTCTGAGAGAGAGAGAGAGAGAGAGAGAGAGAGAGAGAGAGAGAGAGAGTTAAATTAGACAAGTCGATGGAAAACACAACATTTATAGGAAAAAACCCAAACAATAATTTCAGGACAATGCCTTTACATATATTCCCTATAGCACTTCATTATCACTTTTATCCGTAGTCATGTCAACATCCACATCACCTCGACACGTCTAACACACACACACACACACACACACACACACACACACACATACTAATAACTCATACTATCACTACTACAGGTGGATGAGTGTACTGTATTACGCGTGGATGATATAATGTTTCTAGGTTCTTGCAATGTAAAAACGAAAAGAATATATCGATGGCTGTAATATATTCGATAAGCTGAGACCAGTATCAGATATTTCCAAGTAGTGTAAATTAACCCTGAAATGCCTTAAACACCATTTAAAATTTACGATCTTGTTTAATTTACATATAAAACAAATTTTGGGAGTTTATTTCCCTCTGAGGTTACAACATACATTACATCGCTGTATAGGAATTTTGCCTAAAATTGGATGACATAAAAAATGACGCCACCGTGATTTCATAACCAGAAAATACGAGCCGATTATCTACGTTCTTTTATTTATAGACCTAAAAAGTTATTCTTGACCTTGGATCACTTTTAACAAGGAATGCACACGGGACCATACATTACCACCCATACAGATACCAATATTTAGTTCTCTACTATATTTAGGACTATTCTATATTCAACTCTTCAATACGTGGACCAAGGATGTGGATGTGTTATATAAGTCATATTATCAAGTTTCCGGACAATACACCAAGTGTTCCTTAACATTACGAAATGCAAGGATACAGTAACCCTAATCACAACTATACTGCTTACAACACTTCCCTGGATACTGTCGATAAGGAGAAAGATCTAGGCATTGTGAGAGAGATCATTTACTATGGAGGAGATGCAACAAGTGCGGGGCAGCAGGAGAGAACAATCAGAAATTTGGGAATTATTAAACGTAACCCCCACCACCCCCAATACAAAGATGGGAAAATACTCCTTCAACTGCACAGCGACTATCCAAAAACTTATTTACACTTTAATTACCCAGAAACTAATTTAATGTAAAGATCCCAGGAGCCATAACCAGAATTTTTCACCCAGTAAGGTTTTTTTTCTTCTCATAGGCGGACAATAAAAACGACATATTCAAGAGGATGCAGCTATGTGCTTCCAAATTCCACTAAAATAACTCACTTTAAGTTTTCTTCGAATGTGGCCCTGAAAACTGAAGAGCCTGTCAAGGAGCACCTTATTTTACCACGAAATATTTTATCTGAAAAGCAAAATTTAACATTCAACAAGGAATATTGTGTTTTCTTCAAATAACTACCAGCTCATGAGAGAGGAAGAACCATAACAAACTGAGGGGATGACTTAAAGGAAGAACCAGATAACTAAGAGACGTCCTCCTCGTTTCATCAAGGATCACCAAGATCTGATTGGATCCAGATTCAATCCTCTATGGCGAGAAGTGCACTGAGAAATATATTTTACGTATTCTGATTCAATCTGGAATAGAGTTTTGGTAATGGCAAGAAACATTAGACTTGTCAGTTCTATAAGAGGATGCAAGATGCTGCAATGAAAGGTGACTTAAAAGACCAAGTAATAATGGCGTAAGGGAATTCAAAGTTCCGGAAACTGTTTGAGATAATGATATACACAAGTCACCATCTACCGTTATAGAACATCACTGGATCAAGAAAATTTACCGAGTGATACCAGATGAACAACGATGCCATAGAGAAATCCGACTGCGAGAGAGATTTAGGAGTAATGATAAGTAGGAACCTTAAGCCAAGTAAACAATGTGTTTTTGCTCGTAACAAGGCTAATAAAGTACTTGGGTTCATACAAAGGAGTGTTAGTTACAAGACTAGCGAGGTCATCCTAAAACTGTATTTTGCTCTTGTGAGACCACACCTGGATTACGCAGTTCAGTTCTGGTCACCGTATTACAGAATGGATATAGAATCCTTGGAAAGAATTCAGAGGAGAATGACAAGACTAATCCTGGGCATTAGGAACCTTGAGTATAGAGACAGGTTAAAGCATCTTAATTTGCACTCCCTCGAGAGACGTAGAGCGAGGGGTGACCTGATAGAGGTGTATAAGTGGAAGGCAGGGCTAAACAAAGGGGACATTACAAAGGTACTCAAACTATCCAACCAGGAGCGAACTCGTAACAATGGTTTTAAATTAGACAAATTTAGATTTAGGCGTGAAATAGGTAAACACTGGTTTGGAAATAGAGTAGTGGATGAGTGGAACAAGTTACCAAATATCATCATTAACTCGAATACGCTGAATAGCTTCAAACATAGGTTGGATGCTCATATGATCAATAGGGGTTGGGTGTAAACGGGACTGCCCAGTATGGGCCAATAGGCTTGCTGCAGTTTCCTCCATTCTTATGTTCTTATGTTATACAGCAAACGTGATCCCGACCATCAACGCGGGAGGTAACGGCGACTCACTCAGCAGAGACGCAAGACTCCGGAGCGAGTACAAAAACAATAACTATTATATAAAACTGACTTTAAGACATACCTGAAGTGTGATGTGTTGTGGTGTGCTACGGTCCCCCCAGGAGCTGTTAACTTTCACCTACCTGGGAAAAAAAAAACAACAATCAGATAAACCTTCCGTCTCGCTTTACTTCTATAAAAATATTGGTAAAGGTTAAGGAGAATTCCGCCACTTACACCACGTTATATATTGAAAGGGTCTCGCGTATGTGTTGTTCTAAAGTAAAAATATTTATTCGGTGTAGGAAGATGATTAAATTATGTCTATGAAGGAAAACTGTATATATTTAACATGCCTCATTAAATAAACATCTAAGCATTGCACAAAAAAATGTCTGAAAAGATTCTGCCCCTCCAAACATTAATCAAATGGCAACTCTCTCCCTAACCTTCAATTGGTACACTTGTCTATTGCGTTTTAATAGGAACAGAGGTAGTGGTCTTGTGCTCACGTCGCCTTTATGGTAGGTGAAGCCTGAAACGACATTTTCACTAAAACAACTGATGCCAATACTCGTATGTTCCTCTACTCTTCACAGTCCTGTCCGGAATAAGGCTTTAATATACTCTATGTGAACCCATTGTTATGTAATATTAACCACGAGTCTCGCAAGAAAACTATCAATTTTCTCACAAGTTAATGTATCTCTTGAAGACAACGCCTTCCCTGGGTCGAGAAAAACGGCAAATTGAAATTGGTCACAGCAATTACAAGTTAAGTACCGTTTCCTTTTGTTGGCACTTTTAATTAATTAACACGCGTCCACCTAAACGTCCGTCCATCGCCAATTCCTACCGTAATCTTGGAGCAGCTCGCTAACACCAGAACGAGTTGCTCGATTTAATTAATTTTTTCCACAGCTGTTCTTCTGATGACAGTAATACAATATACGGGGCCTAAAAGAACCTCCTGGCTAAGGATAATACTAGAGAAGGATGGTCCACTCCTACGGGCGAACTCGTTTACCTCCCTTTGGTTTGCTTAATATTTACCCTATCAGTGATACAGCCATAAACAGATCCACCAATCACAATCACCTTTACATACAGCCTTCCTTTACCAAGTATTGCCGGGTAAAATTGCGATTAGGAAACCCAGGGTGGG